CGATCGTCAGGGCTGTGGGGCACGTCAGGCTCTACCTTTGGGGCAGGGGCTGCAGCCCCCCAGCCCTGGTGCTGCCGGGCAGCCCTCCTGGTGTTGGGGTGTAGATGGCCAGGGTGCTGAGGTGTCCCTGTGAGCCTTCATCTCCTCAGCGTCGCGCTCCACCTCAGTGCCAGGATCGTGGAAACGCTGTTGTGGCTCCCAGGGGAGAAGAGCTGGGCACCGGGATTTTGGCTGTGAGGAGGCAGAGCTCAGTTCTCCTCACCAGTGTTCCCAGGTGCCCTGGGAGCAGGTGGTGAGGGGCTGCCACCCTTCCCGAAGGCTCCTGGTCAGACACTCCAGGCTGTGCCTATGGGGACAGATGCATTTCCAAGGTACTTGCCCTGCGATGCGAGCAGGGAGATGAAGGCTCCTCCAGCCCCGCTGTGTTCCTCAGCCAGGCCAGACACCAGTGGGGCCATGTGGGGCCATGCCTTGCTGCTCCTCAGGCAGCCCCTTGGGAGAGTCAGGAGGGCGAGCACAGCATCAGGGAAATCACAGGATCCCAGAATATGCTGAGCTAGGAAGGGACCCACATTGAGTCCAATCATTAGCTCTGAACAGGCCCAGCCCCAAGAGTCCCCCCCTGTGCTCCAGAGGATCATCCAAACCCTCCTGGAGCTCTGGCAGCCTTGGGTGCTGTGCCCACTGCCCTGGGGAGCCTGTTCCATGTTGGCTTTCCACTGACGTGACAAAGGCAAATAGGGTAGAAAAGGTAAAGCCAGGGCCAAGCTTTCTGCTGGTGTTAAGCAGACAGCTCTGGTGATGGTAAATAAACCATTTTAATTTCTCTTCTTAGGAAATTTGGCATCAATTTTTTTCCCCTTCTCCAAGGGAAGCAATTCTCTTGCTTAGACCTTGGCTAATTGTTTCAAAAGCCAGGTAATGGAAAAATCAGATGGATGTACTCACTAAAGGCAGAGACTTTAAGCAGCTCATAGAATGGAATCAGTATATCCTGAGGGAAGGGAACCATAAGGATCACTGAGTCCAACACACACTAACTCATACTGTACATGCTATTTGCTATAGAGAAGCATCTTTTATTCCCTTACCTGCTTTCTTGCTGGACTGTAGCACTGTGCAATTTAAGCCTAACTCTCCAAAATACAATTTCCTTTATTGAGCGGAATGCTCTGGGTATGGACCACTTCCAGTGCCTTGTATTAAATGTGATAAAGCAAGGTCACTCTGTAATCAACCTGATCAGTGCCTGCCACAGCACTGCTGGGGTTTCTGTCATTTATGCAGGGGGCCAGGAGAGCTCCTCACAGATCAGACTCTCATAAAAATAATTTACTGCTACATTCACCTTGCCCAAAACAGCAGAGCCATCCCGTCAGCCTGCACACATTTCAGGCTCTCTTGAACTACCCTCTTGTGGTACGGCTGCAGAACGACATCTTCTTCTAACAGCTTAAAATACATCCAATTCTGTTTCACTTTCTAGGATTAAGTGAGACAAAGCTTTCCTTTTGGAGGGCAATAACACCCTCTTTTTTATTCAAACGAGCTCCAAATGCATCATGTCTCCACCTCCGAATACACCAAGCCCCCCAAAACAGGGACTACTGAAAATCCCGTAAGGTTTATACTTGCATTTTCATTTGTCTGTAAAAGAAAAGAAAACAAATTTCCAAGCTTTCAGTGCAGTCTCTGCTGCATAAAGCACCCTCTGCCCCCTCAACAGTGATTCAACACTAACTAGTTAAGTGCTTTGAAGATGCAAAGCAAAAGATCCATTTCATAATAATTTTATTGTATATTTGATAGGTAAGGGCTCAATGTAATGAGCTGATTAAGTTATTGCTTAATTACCGTCTTATATTGAAACAAAGATAATTGTACCAGGAGTGGATGGTTCAGTTCCTAGGGCTAAATACAAGTTTTTTCAGTAGAGAAACATATAAATTCAACCAAGAAAAATGCTGCACTCAAAGTGAGTTTCAATACTGAGCAACAATGATGATTAAACAAGCCACATTAAGTGCTAAAATACAGCAAACAGAATGACCACAGGCCTTATCAGCTTAGGTCAATATTTGAGGTACTTGAATTATCAATAAATAAGTCAACCCATTCTTTCCTGGATAAGTTCAGCAAATCTAGGGTGCCAGAAGGTGTTAACATGGGTGAGGGTTGAAAGTGCTTTTAAAACCCAGAAGAGCAATGCAGAAATTCCTCATCTCCTACCACTACTGACTCTGCAATTTTCCTGATCCAGGCTTTTTCTGTTGTCAAGTGGCTGGGGCAGTAACCCCGTTGCCCTGGGTGACTCCTGGGCTGAGTCAGGCAGGAGGTGCCTGGTATTCCACTGGTGACTCTGTGCTTTGAGTTCCCAGCAGCACCTTTCCCATGAATAAAACAGGGATTACCAGCCCAGCAGAGGAAACACCAAATGGCAGCACAAAGGCCGTGGGAGATTGTAGGGTGGCACCATGAATTCACACCCTGCTCCTTGCTGGATTGAGCTTCATCCCTGATGTTGTGCCTGACAGCATGTGGGCATTCTGACAGCTATCAATACCTGTGCTTCCATATGCAGACAGTGCAGGAATGAGAAAGGGGATATTCTTTCTCACCAAGAAATACCTTTTGCTGACATGATTTCAGTTGCAAGACACTTGTGGAAAAGGAAAGGTGTGTGTCCTCAGCACATTGCCAGCTGGGAACTTCCACCTTGCCCACAGCCACAAGTAGTCCCAGCCCCTCCAGCTGGAGACAGGACACTGGGAGAACAGTGTGCCCTCACCTGCAGCTCTGGTTCTCAGCTGGCAAAAATCTGAAGTCTTTTGTAGAGGTTACCATGGCTAATTCACTGAGGCCTTCAGTTTTAATACTACTGAGGGATTTTTTTGTATTACAGCAGCACTGGGCAATGCTCCCTTGCCCCAGTCAGGGCAGCAAGCACAGTGAAATCACAGAGTGAGAGACAGACTGTCCCACAAAGAGCTTCATTTAAGGAATGGCCATGACTGGTACCTTACAGTGGGAGCAAGGAAGCTCTGACAGACTGTAAATCAGCAAGGGAGAAGGTACTCCCACCACTCCTTTGCATGCACTTCTCTCAACCAGCAAAGTTAGAGGTTTGTCTTCATCCAGACTTAAGGCAGAGTCAACTTCAAAAGCCAATTCAGCCCATTTAAGTTGGGATCCTGCTCCAAATCACCTTCTGAAGGTAAGGACAGCTGTGCTCAAAGCTGGCAGGTGGAGTCCAAAGAAGGAAGTTGGTTTCTCCAGGTGGGACTTAACCGAGTCACCGTGGGAGTAACAAAACCCCGTGTGATCTGAGCCTTTGGCCACTGTTTGAACCACAGCTCATTCTTCCCCCTTGCCAGAAGCAGAGCAGCAAGCCAAAGAGCTCCTGTGGAAAACAACACAACCACTGGTGTGTTACCTGGTTCCAGGGGGCTTGCAGCAGGGTCACCTGCACGTGGGAGGCAGCAGTTAGAGCTCAAAGCAGCAAGAATCCTGCTGAAGAGTTACTTCACAAGGCACAGCCACAGCAAATGAAAATACTTTCAGTAAAATCCTCCCCTACCTCCCAGTCCAGCAAGGACTACAGTTTTCACTTACAGCTCACACAGGCAAAGGTAAAAAGGAACAAAAATATGTCTATGACTTTTGGGAAAATATTTGGCAGTGTCTATTGCTGCCTGTGATAGATTTAGCTGTCATAGGCCATGAGGGAGAAAAGGACTGCAAAGAAGGCAGCAGTAAGGTCTGATGATGATAGATGAAAACCAGGCTAGAGCAAGGTATCAGTAAGGCAAAACAAAGACAATACAGAAAGTTAAAAAAGAAGGGACAAACTATGACATAGAATGAAGATTGTATTGGGAAACAAATGTTAGGAGTGCTTTCAAAGATTCCTCTCCTGTACACCATGGTTGGCATCTCAACTGGTGATAGGAAGATGCTAAGTGGAAAAATACTTGGAGTGTGGGAAGGTGGGACTTTAAAGCCTAAAGCAACGTCCTGGATGCTGTAAGCACAGTAGCTGAGTGCTTTCTATGATCTAAATCTCACACAGCCTACAGAATTAATACCCTCACCACTCATTTAATTCCCACAGATGGTACTTGGTGTGGTCTTTAAATGAACTTCATTTCTTAAACACCAGTGGATTCAAAAATAGAAGATTTAAGACAAATGTCCTGAAGAGAAAACCCTGCAAAAAAGATCAAATTGTCTATACCTGCAAGCTAACATGCCTGTATCAAACTTCTGAAAAACAAGGAAGGCACCTGTTAAGTTTAAAAGCATTAAAAAATCTGGTTTCACCTCTTTCTATTCCTCTCAGGCATATTCCTCTGAGCATCACCAGCAGTAGAAGACTTGACACACGAATCTTAAATTGGATTGAATTCAAAGGGAGTGAAATGCCTCAATGCTTCCTGGGGCTCTGAGAGTGAGGGCTCATTGGCTTAATTGGGAATTAAGGACCAGAAGCAAGAGTTTGCTCAGCACCTGGGAGGACAAAGATCACAGTGTGGACAATGAAGAGCATGTTTCTTCCCCCTGCACACACTGACAGAGCTGTCAGGGCTCCTCTGACAGCGCTGAGATGAGCCTGGAAGACGATGCTTTCATCAGAACCTCTCTCATGGGTCCCTCACACTTGCTCCAGTAGTTCCATCCTTCTGTGGCCACCTAGAACTGGATTCAGTCAGAAGCTCAGAAGGCTTTTAATGATGCGCATCCAGAAGACTGAGATTATGGTCTAATTAAAATCTAATCCAAGTAGGGTAGTACTATATTTTAAAGAAGCCAAGGATGTGGTCTCCTTTTTGTTCCTTTTTCTCTGATTACTCTAATAATTTTAATAAGATGGCTTAGAAAAGCTTGCCATTTCCTTTCCATTTTTAACAGCTATTCCTTCTGAACAAAACCCCACTGGTGGGAAAAAGGATTTCTTCCCCATGGCAACGCTGGGGTACTCCACACAAAGAAGCACCTAGCAGTTTAGTTCACATTTTTTAATAACATGGCACAATTTACATTACACAAGTCTTCGCTGATGAGGAAACATGCTGAAGATTGAGAGCCGCTTCACTTTGCTTTTCACATAGGATCTAGAAAGGACTTTATTACATACAGGATAAACAGCAAAAAGGTTTGTATATAACAATCTCTTTACAATACTGAAAGCTACCACTACGGTTCCAGTGTACATATTCCTCAGGGTTGGGATTTTTTTTTTTTGATTTTCCTTTTGTTCGTAAAAAAAAAAAAAAAAAGAAAAAAAGGAAAAAAAAAGAAAAAAAAGAAACCACTGCACAACATCTGGAGTTCACAAAATCTGAAGCTCACAACTAAACCTTCAGTTGACTACTAAAATAGATCTCTGATCATTAGAAACAACTGTCTGTAGTTAACTTTTTTTTTTTTTTTTTTTTTTTTGCCAAAACAGGGTAACAACTTCAGATAGCACTTTAATACACTAGAAGACCAATGGAACTAATTTTATTTCATACATATATTTTACAGTCCAGTAGACAAGATAGTGAATTCTCTCTGATAAAGTCATATTCTCTCCAAATATTTAGACAAGAAACGTAATGCATTATAAAAAAGTGTGCTATGAAAAGACAAGATTTCAGAAGATTGATGCATATTTTTAAAAAGGACCATGTTCTTCATGTTATTTCATGGCTTCTGTGATTAGGGAACAACAAGGCTGGCCTGTTAACTCTTCACAGACTTTATTACCAACTGAAATACAATAAATTGCATTATGAAATCTGCAATGGAGTTCATTAATTAAACACTGATCCACAGTGAAAACATATCCATCATTTAGAAAAGTATTCTTGTAGGATCTGTTTCAATGTAGCTAAAAATCCCTTAACACAAAAAAAAATGAGTGTGTACAGATCAACATGACACACCCGCAATAAAACCAGACATGAATGGCTATAAGCAGATGCTCTTCCAGAAAGAAATTTGACATGTTAAGTGACAAAAGTTCTGGAAAAGATCCAGCATTTGATTATTCCTGTTTAACCCAGATGAATGTGACTGAAAACCAACTGGCCATGACTTCAGTATCAGTGGTTCCAGAGCACTGACCCTGACGCCGTGGAAGGGACACACGAGCTCCAGCGACCTCAGCAGCCTCATGAAGGGCTTCTGACAGAAAACTGCACCTCTAACGGGCTGTTTCTTCATCAAAACAAGCAAGAGAAAGAGGCTCCTACTAGAAATGAGCTTGTTCAGGGAAAATATGACTTTAATTATGTTGTGTGTTGAAAAGGCTCCTTTGAGTTATAAAGGCTTTTGTGAAAAGCCTTAAATTCATTGCATAGTTGAAGGGGTTTAGCTGTCTATAACAATATATGTAACACAGCATAAGCAGACTGTGTTGATCAATATTAAGTTTGCAAATAGCACAGTTTAAGAAGTATTAATGTATTATGTTACTTAATTTTATCTATTTACATTTGTACAAAGTAAAGCTTTCATCTTACCCTTTTTGCATATATGAACCATTAACCCATGAAGCAATCTTTTTACATAAATATCTACAATTGACTTCATTTCTGGTCTGAAAGAGCTTTGTAGGGTTGACGTTGGTGGTGGCTTGTTTCTAGTCAAATCACTCCGATTGATGCCTTGTTCTTCAGTTCAAATATTGAAATTCTTAAACTAGAAATAAAATAGAGTAGGAGACACGAGGAACGTATGGACTCGGCTAAAAGATCTGGAAAATTTCAACATATAATATACAAAAAGAACCATTTCAAAATCTTTGCACTCAGGTCTATACATATTGTACAGCGGGTCACATCCCCAGTCTGTAGCAATGACTAGTAAGAAGGTCTTTATATTATGTTCATGTACAACGTTTTTGTCCCTCTTTCTGTGGTTTTTATTCAGTCTCACTCTGCTTATCGAGCTTCAATGTCCTTGAGGGTGTGAGAGGGGGGCCTCTCCCTCATCTCCGTGGACAGAGGAGTAGTCCTTCTGGGAGACCCAGGCCGAGGTCCCAGCGTGGAAATAAGAGGCGGAGGGGCACTGAGAGCTGCTGTGGGGGGAGTTTTGTTGAGGATGCCGTTCTGGTGTGCCGTGGGGGGGCTGACTCGGGGGTAGTGCATGCTGGGGAGCCCCGGGGTGATGAGGCTGGGGTGGGGCAGGTGGCCGTCCAGGGCGGCCGGGTGCACCGAGTGCAGGCGCGCGTGCTCGTAGTCCTCCCGCAGCATGTGCAGCCGCTCCCGGTCGTCCAGGTGGGTGCCCCGCTCGTGCTCACGCCGAGGGTCGACGGACAGAGGGTGGTGGTGATGGTGGTGGTGGTTGTAGTCGTGAGGTTCCCGATCCCTGAACGACCTGTCTGCTTCGTACAGTCTCGGCGTGGAAAGACGGTGAAGGGGGTCGTTCCTCAGCAAAAAGTCTCTGCCCAGGGGGTCTCTCCGATGAATATCCAGCTCTCTGTACGGATCTCTCAAGGGATCCCTCATTGGGTCCCAGTGGAAAGAAGGATAGGGGAAACGTTCTCCACCAGGAATCGGGCTAATTCCCATAAAAGGGGTCATCATGCGAGTCCTATCCAGGCCACTGATGCTGTTCATGTGATGTATTCCAGTCACACCTACAGTCATGGGCATAGACACTAGAGGACTTGGATGGACGTTGGATGTAGATACAGGTGGTGGCTGATCAGATGACCGATGAGTCTGAGGTCCCTCAGGCTGAACATCGTGGTCTTCCTTTCGCTCTTCCTTCACCTTGACTTCGTTGCTTTTCTTGGGATTCTCGTACGCCGGCTCGTTCTTCCTCTCGGCCTCGCGGTTTGAGGTGCTGTTGGGCCTGGTGCTCTCCACAACAGGGGGCCTGGCATAGGGGGAAGGAACCCTGGGCATCTGCTTAGACTCTTCCACCACTCGGCTTTCATGGCTCAGGCCTTCTTTCTCCGAAATATAGTTGTCCTTCACCTTGTGCTCTTCAACATTAATTTCCTTCCGGGATTCGGAGTGATCCCTCTCTCGTTCTTTGGGTTTCTCTTTCTCCCGGACCTCGGGGTTCAGATGGCTCCTGATCTGCTCGCTTGAGCTGCGGTTATGTCCGAGGGAATTTACTGGATGGATTGGTGCTGGCGAAGGATGGCTGGAGTGTCTTTTCTCAATGCTCTCCCTACAAGAAAGAGGAGTGTGAAAATGAAGGCATGAGAAGCTCTGCAGATAAAACAAAGCATCAGGTGTCTGGCTCTCTGCTCGTGGCTTTGCAGAGAGTTGGTAACATGCACCATTAATGCACTGTGCCTTTGGCACACCCAAAACACCAGAACATCCCGTCTCTAAACTTGGCCTGTTCTATTATCTCATCCCAGGAGAAGATCCCAAAGCTGCTTTATGAATAATCTGATTGAGATCTCAAACACTGAAGTCCACAAAAGGCTCCCAAGGGAATCCAGCTCTAGGACACACATTTCTAAGACAACGGCCTTAAATGTTTGCAGAGAGAGAGAAAAGTAAAAGCATACTAATTTCATCAAAAAAAGCAAGATAATTAAATCCAAATTATGTGTTAGTAGTATTTTACCTGCTTCTTCTAATAGGAATACATTTGGGAAAACAGATGACTTTTCTCTCAGCTGACTTTAAAAACATTTCTAGACCTATTTACTCATTTCTCTCCTCTATTCTCTAAAAATGTGTAGCTTTTCAATGTATTTCTGACAATTCAATTTACTTCTTCAAAGTGAAAACAAAAGCCTCTCAAGAAACCAGTAGTCTCTGAACAGGCAGGGACTTCCCTAAGCGTGCAATGGCCTCAGTGCAAGTGTTTTGATAGGGCTGGCAGACACTTCCTCAGCAGGCAGGGACAGGACCAATGCTAGCAAGTCTCAAAATGCTGTGAATTCATCACTCTTTCAAACCTATTTATGGTGTCCAAAAGATTAGAGATTTATTGTCTGGCAGTCGACAAAACCCCAAGTATGGGAATGGGTTCCGACCAATTATTTTCAGGAAGCAGTGTTGACCAGGAGTTGTTATGGGCAACACTAAGTGAAAAAGCTTTCCTATTTATAACTAATAAAATTCATAAGGTTAATCTAATCCCTCAGTTCAATGATTTTAACCTCCTACTAATTTCAGTTGATCTCTAAGTTGGAGTCTCTCCATAAAGACAGCTCCAGATCCTCAGTGTTGCACACGTGCTGTTTGCTGAGCATGGAAATTCTGTTCCATGTGAGATGGACAAGGTGCTGTTAGAGGCAAAAATTATTATGGCCATAAACTAAACTAAACCAAACCACAAGAGGTTCCACCTCAACATGAGAAAGAACTTCCTCCCACTGAGGGTGGCAGAGCACTGGAACAAGTGCCCAGGGAGGTCTCTCAGGAGACAAAACCCATCTGGATGCGTCCCTGTGTCACCTGCTCCAGATGACCCTGCTAAGGGGGTTGGACTGGATGATCTCCAGAGGTCCCTCCCAGCCCTAAAGATCCTGTGACTCTGGGAAAAGTGAGGGGTAAGCAGTGAGGGCTCTGAAGTCCCCACCAGTTCCAGTTTCCATGATTGCTCTTTGGGTGCTGCTGAGCAAGGTGTACCCTGAACAGGCTGGCATGAGGACACAGGGTGACATCACTCTGGACAAGATCAGCAGTACTGGCTGCCTGAAGGGCAGCTCAGAAGGAGAAGTGGACACTTGCTCCTTCACCTGCACAATTTCTGCTGCCTACTGTTCTTGCTGAGCTGAACTGCCTGAGATTTCCATCTCTAGGTACTTTGGGACAGTGAAACTGCAGCAACTGCAGAAAAAATGTCTTTGAGAAGGAAACTCTCAGTATTATAATCTCACCAGAGGCATCTTTTACTTTGTCTGGGCTGTCAATTTATGGGCCATGTCTGAGAGACCTCCAAGAGTCCAGAATTTGACTGTTAGAAAACATTTGGAAGATGGAGCATTTGGTACCAGAACTGCCAAGTCTGCACTGTCCAACAATTAACTCCTTGGTATCACGTTCTGCCTTGACTGACTGTGACCTAAACAGTCTCGAAATCCCATCCTGGCCTAATTTCCCTCCTCTTGCTTTCCACCACTGAGAGCTGAGATGTTTGATTTAACAGCTTCCAGATCAGGACACATGGAGACCAAGTCAAGGTACTCCAGATGAAGGATACTCAGTCTGATGACTCAGTTTGCTTTTGCTTTCCTGGGAAAACACTGGCTTGTGGGCTCTGCAGTAAACCTAATCTTTTATTTATTTTGCTCATGGGACTAGTTCAGAGGGCACCCTCAACTGCTTTATTTCATTGAGTCCTTTCACTGATATTTAATCAATTTTCCATGTAATTGATGTATTTTAAATGACACATAAAATTTAGAGAAAATAACAGGCATTTTCTGTAATTAAAGAAAAATATATGTGCAACCAAAATAACATATTCATTTGCCAGTTGCATCCTACTCAATGATAGTGTTGTGTCATCTCAAGAACCTATTGATTAAATGGCTCATTTAAGTGAACTCCAAGTAGTCCAGTGGTCAGAGAAAAAATTTTTTATCCTCAGATACATCAAGGGTTCCTTAGGTTAAAAATATGGGAACAGCTCTAAGCCACTGCCTCCACAAAGGAGGGACTTAAAATCATGTTCCCCAATGAACTTATTATTACATAAGAGAAGTTCTGAGGCTGCACTGAAAACCACTGAATTTCTTATGCTGAGGACTTTGCCTTATTTTATGTTGATAAAAAGATCAAGAGATTCTTGGTTGGGTTTTTTTTGGTAATGCTCTAGGTTTACATACACTTAAATGCCATTATTAGATTGGAAGTGCTCAGTGACATCTTTTAAAATGCCACTGAGAAGGAACAAATCCTTTTTTTCACATTAGCTATTTTTACAGATTTTTTTTTTCCTAATGCTGGGCTGGAATAAGAGAGTCCTTAAAACAAACAAACAAAAAACCCCTCCACAAATGCAGACAATCATAGAATATCCTGAGCTGGAAGGGACCCTCAACATTCCTGACACTGATCTTAGTGGGGCAGAGCCAGGCCCAGAGGTAGCTCTGAGATACCTTTCCACTGAAGGCAGAAGGAATTGAGATCAATGCTTTTGGCTTCATGGCCCCCTTCAGGGCTGATAAAGTTAGACCCTTGTCAGGATGATTTTTGAGATTAAATCATCCCCCTGGATGTGATTCCAATTTCTTCTTGTTTGGGAAAATTAGCCTAAAACAGGTAACAAAGGCTGGGACCTCAACTAGAGAGCAGAGCTCCATCCCCCCCTGCAGGTGCCACTGAACGTTCCAGGGGTAGGAGAGGCTCCCAGACTCTCCAGACTTTATCTACACAGGGAGCACAACTCCAGGGAGGGATTCTCAGCACCATCTCAAACAGGCAACAGTGGGAACATGCTGCACAGTCCAACTCTCCACCCCCCCCAGCACGGCAGCACTAGATGGGCAAAACCATCATTGCACTGGACTGGCAGCCAGAGTTGTGCACAGGTATGAGGTATGGATGATGCTTACTGGGAAGCAATCAAATTATTGCAAAGAAACATGTTCTGGGCTATGATATGGAGTTCAGACAATGCCAAAGCAGCTCGCAAGGAATGTGTTTTGGAAAGGGATTTTCTTCAGCAGGAACACTTCATAAGAAAACAACAAAACAACAACCAAAATAATCACATAACCCTACAGGTTACCCAAATCATTAGTAACTAAAATGCTTTGCCATTCAAGCCAGTAAAGTTACTCACATGCTTAAGCATTTTGCAGGGCAGAATCCCCAATTTGTAACAGCAATTTCTTTTGAAGCATTAACACCAGACATGAAAGTAATGAAGCTATGCTACCAAACAGAAAATATTCCAAATGGAAAATGTAGGTGAAAAGATCTGTAGTTCGTCTTGCTTTTACAACAACACAGAAAAGCTCTTACATGTATTTTTAGAATATCTAATGTGTTAGCATAACTTCTTTTAGAAAAGGCTACTAGTGCTTATATTTGGGTTAGTGACAGAGGAGTCAGAAAAGCACATCTCCTAAATATTCTTTAATGGTAAAAAATTAGAAACAAATAGCCATTATGTAGTAAAGTCATGTGCAAACTTAACAGGAAAGCCATCAAGCCACAACTGAAAAAGCTGAAATCAGCCTCTCTACATTTTTCAAGGAAGGCATGACACTTGCTGAATGGCAAATTCTTATAATTTGGTACTTCATTGTTAAGAGGAATTGTTAACTGTATAATGGGAACAGTCCTGACAAAAAAAATATGACCAGGTTTTACTTTCCATTAACCCTTCCCAGCCTGGACATGTTAATGTGCAAGTCCATGTCAAACACTGAAGAGAAACTGTGCTTGAAGGTGTGTAAAGGCAGTGCATGGGCGGGGGCCTTTTTGAGGGGATTAAGGTGCATCTCATGAAGTGCATGCTCTGAACCTTCCTGGGGCATTGGCACATGACATGACATCCCCTGTGCCTTTCAGTGTTAGCACCTCACCCCTTTATCACTCTGGTCAGGCTGCTTTGCAAGAGAGAGGAAGCGTTATTTGTTTTACAGACAAGGTCCAACTGACAAAGTTATTGAAGCATTTGAAGGTGCAGATACGTGTCTGATGGACTTCAGAATCCTTTTCTCCATCCTGTCAGGCACTATCTACACATTAAATCTTTAAGAGACCTACGACAATGTGACCCACAAGGTGACAGACAGGGTGTGTGGCTCTGGTTCTATTCCCACTTGCCACTGCCTGAACTCTGCTCCAGCAGGGCTCTTCTGGATGACGTGCAGTGCAAGTGGGAAGAGAAACAGCTGAAGGAGGAAACACCTGAGTTAGAAACTTCTTGCACGGTGTCCCAGGCAGCTCCAGCTGTGCCTCTAGCGCAGCTCTGGGTTCCCAATGTGCCAGGCTGGGAAGGGTTAAAAGCGGAACGGAGCCCCAAGCTTTGAACTAGACAATTCTTGGAAGTTTTCTTTCGTACCTTTCTTTGTCATCTTTACTAACAGATGAGTCTCGTTTATCTACATCTCTATCTCTGTCATGAGCTGCAGCAGATGAACTGCGCTCCAGCTCTCCTGGCTTCAGCCAGGGCGGAGGGGTCGGGAACGAAGGAGGAGTTCGGTGCAGTCGGTTCCAGGGCTCGTGAGGGTTGCTAAAGCTCTGCATACTGGGGCCATCCTTGTGGCCGAACACTGAGTTGGGTGCTGAAATGGTGAAGTGGAAAACAAAAAGGTTTAAGAAAAAGGTATGCTCTAGTGAAGGTACTTACCAAAACAACTTTTACAGCACTCAGAGTTAAAATGAATACATATTATTGGGAGCTGGAAAAGGAAAGGAGATTAACAGAGATTCATTAGAGGGTCTCATTCCTAAAAAATGGGCAGGCATCTGACAGCTCTTTTAATTGGATAAGGGGAATGCTGTGGATAAAATTGACAGGGGATGAAGGAGGAAGATAAAAGTGGCAATGATCATTATTCCAAATATTTTGGAGACATCAGGAAATGACCATTATAAGGACTGTAAATAATGGAACTTGTTGCATTTGATCCTGAACCAAAACAAAATAATACGTGGCTAAAACCATGCCAGATTTGAAGGATGGAGAAAGAGAGTGATTTTTACAAGGATGATCTTTTGTGACTGCCCAAATCTAGAGAAATGTTGATGATCCTGGACTAATAAATGCAGGTCAGTGACCTCTTCCAGGCATATGGCCTGGAGTACTGGTGAGAAAGTTAAAAAATACAATCTTTCCATCCCCAGCTAGGGATGCTGCACACATTAACTACTTCTGAACATGCAACAAACCCCTGGGAAATTTCACAGCTGCTCAAAGGTTCTGTATTTTTAATTTTTTTTTTTTTTTTAAAATAAACAATGTAGTGGTGACATTTAGCACTCCGTTGAACCCAAACCATTAAGTAATTAATGAGAAATGATTTACTGATGAGTGAAAAAGGTCGCTTTGCAAATTCCCACCTCTTAGTGGTACGTGGTCTAATCAACTGGTAAAACAGACAGCAAACAGCCCCCATATTCTCCTGAATGTCACAGCAAAGGAGGATTGAAAGGCAAAGGTACTCACTGACTGTGGGGTTGCCGAGCCCCCCGAAGGCGTTGCTGCCCACGGCGGTGAGGCCGCTGAAGGACGCCGGGCGGTTGAAGGGCTCTGCAAACCAACACAAACAGCTCAGGCTCCCTGCAGGTTGGGAGTTCTGCTAAAGCATTCCTGTGTTATCCTCCTGCATCCCATGCCGTGCCCAGCAGTGGTGGAACAGGGTCCTCCCACGGCACAGCACTGATTGTGAGGGGCTGGCACACAAACAGAGGGGGTTCGTTCCTGTGTTCCCGTCCCCTACTACAAAACCCTCCTCTTCAAAGAAAACCAAGAGGTTAAAATATACATGGTACTGCATTGAAAACCTGCAAACATCTCCATTTTTACTTCTTTTTATTCCCTTACAGTTCAGTTCCATGGTTTTCCTCAGGAAACCTCCCTGGCTAGTCAGACTATTATTAACTCTGGCAACTGTGCTCCAAACACCCTCAGGCCATGTCTCCTAAACCAGAGCCAGGATATAAATAAAATGTCCCATTACACTGATGTATTGTGCTGACCTGACAATTCTGGAATTCTTCTGGTATTTATTGCTGATACTATATGAAAAACGGACTGAAAGATGCTGGAACAATTCTTTTAGTAGTTAATGCACACAGGCTATAGGAAAGTCATATAAGCAAATTCTCACTTTATTTTGGAGCATTCTAACAATCTGGATGAAGCCACTTCTGATAAATAACAGCACAGAGAGAAGGAAGCCCAAACCCTTTTCTATAGTGCAAAATGATAAACCTGCACTGTGTGTCTGCTTTGTCAATTTGTGACCCTCCCAAATCCTTCCCCATGCAAAATAAAATGCCAATTTAGTGTCTTGATCTCAGATGCTCCTCTAAGGAGCAGAACACCTTATTACAACAGCAGAGAATTAGAAGGGAAATAACAACACCTGGTAACTTGGGTGGTTCTGGTTTCAAATGTGTATTAACCAGTTGTCACTAACAGACACACCTGAGGCCAGATCACAAGATTTTAAGGATATATTGCCCACTCACTTTAATGGAAAATCAGACATCTAAGTAGGAGATAGGAAAAGAAACACCTCTATGATCCAAAGCCTTGACCCTAAGGCCTTTTTTTTTGTCTGGTTATAACATAAATCCAGTGAAACCCAACAAGCCCTTTCACCCTACATCTCTAACGTCCAGTTCAGAAGTAATTCAAAACATGCTGTCAGTGGCACTAGTATGTGTATTTTGAACTGCTATCTGGGTAAAGACTAAACTTTATTTGGCTAAAATGTGCAATTTGTAAAGATTGAGCAGGATACTCCACACAGGGGAGCTGGAGTGGTCTCAGTGGCCAATGTTGAATTCACCAGTAGTTACAGAGAGAACCTACCTAAGTGAGCAGCTGGGTTGAGGAAGTTGCTGTGGTGAGGTGGTGGGCCAAAAGGGGTGCCAGCTGGATGCCCCCCACCTGCCAAAACAAAGCAAAAGGGGTGAATTCCCAGCAAAAGCTCAGAAAGGGACTTGCTCTGCTCTGGGCTTGAGCATCATTTCTTATTTCTCTCAGGTGAGCCCAGAGTGCTGTGACTGTGGGGGCTCTCAGTCAGGACTGCATGCAAATAGCAGCTGCTCTTCCAAACAGGAATTCCCAGTTAAAGGGATGGGAGGGAATGACTGTTTCGGTACAAAAAAGGAACAAAAAAAGAAAACACATGTGAAATACAGTTTATTTCCAGCATCTCATCTCCAGGATGCACTGGACACCACTCTGTGAAGAAATGTTTCTCCATTTACTACGGTAACTAGCCCCAACATTTCAGCAGGTTGGTCCTTGTTTTAAAAACATGCAGAATAATTTTGAAATATTTATCAGTGGACAAGAATAATTTTAAAATATTTATCAAATAGACTAATGGCCCCTGGCATGTCTTGCAGAGAGTTCATAAGCCAAAGCATATGGGAAGTTCCTGGCAAGGATTAGCATTTTAATGAGCACGGAGCACGGAGGGGATTTCACTGCTCAGGACTCACTGGCTGTGGAGAAGAGAGTGGAGGGCCGGGCCAGGTCATGGGGGTGGTGGATGGCTCCAAAAAGGCTGGGGCCTGGTGGCCTGCTCAGAAATTCCGGTTTCAGGCCGAAGTCCAGCTTGTGTGGATCCGACTGCATCTGTTTCTGAAAGGGAAAAACAGGATTTGCAAGAGACTGTCGGAAAACATAACAGCAAAAAGCACTTTCTGAATGGTGTGGGTGTAGCAGTTCATTCATACTGATGCCTTGACAGGAATATCAGTTTTTGGGACCCCCAGTATGGGTGTACAGCTGTTTTCCTGGAAGGCAGATCTAAGGCAAAGAAGGAAAAGCTCCTGCATATTTCCTGCAAAGTTCACCCGTGTTTTCACATCTGCTCACATCCACCCTCCAGGGTGTTCAGCACAGGCCTGCCTTCAACAAGAAACTCTCTGAGGAGGCCTCAGACGCTTGCTGAGCTGAAAGAATAGGTCTGTCTTGTAATAATAAATCAAGATGTTAGTTTGGCCCTGCCCCCAGGTGGGCAGGAGGGTTAAAAGCTGGGTGACAGCCCAAGGTGTGCCAGGCAGAGCTGCCCCTCTCCCAGGGGTCCCTTGGCCACACTGGGATGGCACAGACCAGCCCAGGGACACCAGAACCTTTAATTTAACTGTGAAGCTGCCACCAAGAAATGCAGTGTGCCCCTCAGGCTGCAATTAGGGGCTAGAATGACCCAGATGACAGATGAAGAACGTTTGATCTAAGGAGCTGCAGCCCCATTTTGGCTGCTCACACTCCAACTCAAAGTGCTGCATGGCCCTGTTTTATTTCCATGTATGAGAATCTGCAGCCTCCCTTCCATGAGGGGAATCTGCTGAGGCAGCTGGATTGTGAAGGGTAAGTGGGTGAAGGATGGGCTCTTCTTTGTGCCACATCCTCATTTCAGTGCTGCCAACTCCAGTAGTTTTATAGAAGGAAGGAAGAGAAAAACCAAATTCCCAATGACCTGGCGCTGCCAGAACTCCCTAAACACAGATTGCTGATTAATTGTGCAGGTCAGCTGAAAGGATTTACAAATGGGTAACACTGAACCAGGAGATCTTAACAGTAATTCTGGAACAAGCTATGCTTTATAAATCAGTATTTAATACTGTGCCAGCCCGGAGTACAGACTATTACAGTGATATAAATATGCATATTAAAAAGTTATGATCAAGTTAATGTGCATGCCTAGGAGCTGTTTTTTCAAGTGCTACTAATGTGTCTATGTAGTTATGAGAACAAAAAAAAAAAAAGAAAAGAGAGAAACAAAAGGCACTATCTGTGTTTGGAGATAAGGGCCTGCAAAGACACTGAAAAGGCAAAGATGGCCAAATTAAAGTCATGTCTTTCAAGAAAGTACCACTGAAGTGCTGCAATAGTTAATAAAGGTTCAGCAAATGCCTCAGCTGAAGCCTGCATGCCAGATTTTTATGCTGTGAACTCTTTTTATTCTTCTTTTTAACAACCAAGTTATAAAGCCCTGACAGGCATTACTCAGAATAGCAGAAGCTTTAATTGCAGCCATATGAACGGTGCTGTTCTAAGTAATGAACAAATCCCTGTCTGAACAGGAACAGGAGTATCATGGATGTGTTAAAAGATTTTTTGAACGTGTTGGGTTACCTTAAAATAGCACCAGAAAAAACAGTCAGGTTTCTTTTATCCCCAGCTGCTGTTCAGGAGAGCACCCCCCTCACTGCCAATCCTTACAATGCATTTCAAGGCCAGAAAATGTGTAACACCTTCACTTGGTGCCCACTGAAATCAATGTAATTGTCTGCACTGATGTGAGATCGGGCCATGAGGCCTTTCCTAGAAGAGAGAGGGCCAATTATGGAGCACAAATCCTCTCCTGGGCAGTGGTGAGTCTGAGGAGGAGTGTAAATGTGCCTTGTGCAGCCCTGGCTCTGCCTGCCGAACTCCCCGGGCGTGCACAAAGGTTACCCAGGTCCTGCTGCAGAGGCACAGGCAGGCAAACAGCATCCACAGCTGCAGGCAATTTTTCCTGAGGTCAGGAAGGTTGTGTTTTAAAGTTTCCCATCTTGCCTGCTCCTCCAGTGCCTGCTGTTGCCCTCTGCAAGCAATTACTGGGCCAGGTAGTTACCGAGCCTTCCACACTTGCCAGCAGTCTGGTGGCACTGCAGCCAACTGGAAACCTCTGAGCAGCTCTGGTTCATTCCCTGCCCTGTGGTCAGGCAGCACCTTCAGCTTGTGCAGGACAAAAGGCACCTTCACAGCCATGGGTTAGACGGAGAAATTGTCCTCTATGAGCCTTCAGCCAGAGATTCCCCCTTCATGGTCACACAGAGGGAGGACGTGGCTCCAGCCCCCTACACCTCCTTCCTTGACTGAACTGAGATAGTGAAGCACATTTCTCAATTATTCTTGAAATGTCTGTCATGCACAGCCTCAAAAAGCCAAGTAACATCCTTTCCTGTGTTTCTGGGCTTTATTCCTGGGGTTTTTTAACATGCAAGGTAGAAAAGGATTAGGTAAAAGAAATGGCTGCATGAAAATGGCATTTACTATGAGTTATAAATACAGTGGTATGACCTCTCTCTGAATATCAAATCAAGGAAGATTCAAAGGACATAGACAGCATGGGAATAATAATTTCATTTCAAGAAAATACCTTTTCAATAAAATAGAAAAAAAAGGACATATAACTCTCTAGGTCTATAATCTTGTCTTTTTTGATAATGGGAAGATGAATGAAGATCACTAGCAGGGGAAACATAAGGAAGCAGAGAAGAGAGATATGTCTACTGCAGCAAATTAACCTGTCAACCTTGTTTAAAAGGGTTATTTTTAAACTCTATTAGCTGCAGGTTTTTGTAGCTGTTCAACATCTTCATATTCTTGTAGCAATACCTAATACACCTCAATTGCACACACAGACTGCAAAGTGCTGTGGGTTCCCTGGTAATTTTAGTTTCTAACACAAGTTATTGACTCCTGAAGCACAAGCAGTGAAGAACAACCTTTCCTTACTTAGTGAAACACTTCAGGAGCAGCACGGGATTTTTCAGTGACAAGTAGAGTGAAAATACTATAAAGGGAAAGAAACTTCACAGAATCCATGTCCAATGAAAATACAGTTACAACAGGAATAGAAACACCCACCCTGTCACATGAATACATTGTTTTTCTCTGACTTTTGTTTCAGGAGAGCCTAAACTGCCCATGGCCCTTACCCTTGAAGTCTCAAAGCTTCAAAAATAACTAAGGAAATACTTCCTTCCCATAAGTTTCAGTGCAATGAGAGAGTGTCTGATAACACATCACCCGAGGGGCTGTGTCTGCCTGAGCAGCCTGGACCCATCCAGGCCCAACCTCCAGCCATGACATGGGCTGTGAAGGAAGAGTGATGAGAGCTGTGCAGCCACCTTGGGTAAAGCATCCCAGGGACAGGAGGAATCCTCCTGTGCCCCTTGCTGACCAGGAAAATGACTATGAGGAATGGGATACACATGCTTTGCTTCTCCAGACTTAAAAAATGCCATCTTACATTTGTGTCCTCAGCCACAAATAAAAGCAATGTTGTAGCTCAGAGGCACACTCATCTCACCCTTCCCAGCTACAAACTGGTGGTTATTGCCCAAGATCTGGTGTCCTGGCTCTGGAGCATCCCAGACACTTCGCTGGGATCGTACTTCAGGTTTACATTCTCATAAACCAGCTCTCTGAATTGGAGGGTTATGTTGTAATGCTGGGCATGGTTAATCTAACAAAGCATGGGCCATGCCATAGAGCTGCTCCAGGGAGAGGCAAACCCTTCCTCTCACAGCTTTGCTCTGTGCCCTTCATCCAAAATTCAGGGGTGCCCCACCACTGACCTTGACTTTCTGTTGGTGGTGGTAGATCTGCCAGGCAATGTGGACGTGCATAGCACACCACTTCCCAGGTTTCTGGAAAAACAAAACACATCAGTCAGTAACTTCCAAAAACCTGTGGTGCTTTATCCTAGTTCTAGAGCCACTGCCAACCCTTAGCCCAGCCTGGTTTGGTCCAGGGGATCCCCCCACCAAAGGGTCTCCCTTCAGGGCCTTCCCTCTCTTGGGAAACCAGAAATGAAAAAGCTTTGTCCCTTGCTAAGAAGTTTATCTTGGACATCCAGGAATGCTCCTGTTTTACACACTCCTGTAATCCTCTGATGCCACTGGCTGAGAATGCAGCTTGTGCTGCTGGGAGCAGTGAAGCTGTGTCCCAATCAGCAGCTGCTGCACAGCTGGATTGCTCACAACTGCACACTGAGGTCATTCCCACCAGTGCAGCTATGCCAAGACTGGCATTTCCACCCAAAGAGGCAAATTAAAGCAGCTTAAAAGGTCACTCTGGTTTTCAAAATAAATCTGACTCCCTCATGTAATTACTGGTCTGTACCTCCAAGACTTGAGCACATAAATGTGCTGAAAACACTGGAGGTCAGTCCATTCACTCTGTTCAGGAGGGTCTTTGCATCCTTCCTGTCACCGTGGCTTTGAGAGGAGGAGAGAGGGAGGGAAGAACCAGAGTGTTTGTTGTGTTTCCTTGTTGATTTTGAACTCCATTTCCAGCACAGCTGGAAACTTTGACTGAGAAAGACTCATTGAGGACATACTTTTCCCAATTTTGTTACTTCGAGGTCTGCAGTAACTACACAGCTAATGATTCCTGCAGATTTAAAAATTAGCACAGGAATTCAAGAAGCTTCTTAAGCTACTGGTAAATTAAATATTTCACAAACTATGGCACATGGTCTACCTTCTATTTTTAGGTGTGTATCAACCAATAATTAAATCACAAAAAAATTAAACCCTCTCTCACAAACATACTCCCCTAAACTCAAGCCTTTTGCTAATTCACAACTGGCTGTGCCAGTGATCTCATAAATTCACTTGGTTTGATCAAAATCTAAATCTTCTTCTTAAATACATTGAAAAATTAATAAAAAACCCTTTGGGATGACTGATAGATGGATCTTTAGATCCCTATTTCTAAAATATTTTGTGTTTGAAGTGGACTGTCTGTCCATACTGGACACTAAATACCTGGGTGGGATGTACCATTCTGAATAACACTGAAAACACCCAGTAACTACTAAAATGCAAAATCCTTCAGTGTGCAGTGAAATGACAGGGGATCACTGCCAGGATCTCTAGGATTTGGCTCAGGAAATGATAATAGGAGGATTATCAATATTTAACCTCGAGTATTCATGTGAGGGGCTGCATGAGAAGCAGAAAACTTCCAACTTTGAAACCCTGCATTGTCCTTGAGTGATCACAAGCTGCAGGACTGACCATCCTGCTCCCAAATGGGGGGTAAACCATCCCAGATGACACATGGCAGCACTGATTTGCAATTATTCTGCTGCTTCAGCCCGGTGGGACCGAGCCAAGCTCGACAAACTGTAGCACAAGAAGATTTCTTACCCTCAACATGGGCCTGAACGGATCTGTCAACTGTGAAGAAGAAATGACAGCTTGGTTACATGCCTGTCACTCAAACAATTGCTCTAATTAACAAATTTGTATTGCTTCATTAAGAGACAAAATTAAAATGTTATCATTTTACTTTCAAATGAGGCCCTTTTGGATAATAATTAGTCCTTGGCCCCCATCCCTGAGCATGGCCCTCCCCCCTGGGCTGTTGTACCTGAGTGTTGACAAGCAACTCAACAAGGCTCACACAGAGCTCTGTCCTCTGGCATCAGCTTTAATTTGTTGATTTAATGCTACAAAAATGGCTGGTTAACTGTGCTGAAGAAAGCACAGATCCCTCCTTTGGGCAAACTTGTGTTGTCTTCCAAAGCTGCCTGGCTCCTGAGCAGGCTGGAGAGTGGACAAGCCCCTTTCCACAGGCTTGATCCCACAGATTGGGTGGGAAGGGGCTGGAATGGGGTGTCAGCCCCTGCACACCAGTGTGTCCATCACCAGCCATGGCATCAGCTCCTTGCCTTGTGCCTCCAAACAGCCAGCACTGACGGACTGCCCAAGGTGTTCTCTGCCACAAATGGGCTTTGCCTTAATTAGCTTTTCATATTGCAACAGATGTTGGTAAACAGGGGCTGGGTGAAACCCCAATTTTCTCATTACTACTCTCATTATGTGGCCTGTTGTGGTTTTGGTGGTTTTTTTTTGTTTTTGTTTTTGTTTGGGTTTTTTTAGTAGACTATTTTCTTATTCCCCTGTTTTTGCTCATATTTCACCAGTTAATGCTGGAAAATAAATTCAGTTTATTGGGTATTGCTCATTTGTTTTGGATTTTCTGTTTTGAAATGCAATCCTAAAGGAGATTTATAGGTGTAAAAGGTACTTAGCAGACGCAGTGATGGCACAATGAATCATCTTGAAATAATCGAAACTCAGGTTGAAAGGGAACATAAAGCTAAATGACTTCGTGATGGGAGGCTCTAGTTATCTCTGCAATTAGATACATAAACAAAAATGTGGCTCTTCTTGGTATAAAGCTCAACTACAGCCCCAATTCTGAGCAAACCAAAGTACTGGAACTTGGCATAACCCAACCTTACAGTGAAGCCATAGCACCACACAGAATTTTAAGGAGAGCTCCTCACTGCTTTTGTCAGAGAGCTCTGTTAAAAATGTGTCTGTGTGATGTTTCTCACAGCAAACAGTGTCCACGAATTCTCACCCACAAACAACCCCCGGGCAGAGAACAGAAGGAGGCGAAGAGACCAAGTGCTGAGGCCATAAATGCTGCTCACATCCCCTGGAACTCAGGAATCCAGAGTGATCAATAAAGTGCATCTGTATTTCACTGGTGCAATCAATGCTACAGTAACCCAGGGAATAACTGCCATTACCCACATTAAAAACAATTACAGAGTACAAACACAAATCTTGGAGAGGTTTGTACAATTCTGAGTTGAATTGGGCTCTTATGCCTTGACTCCTGGGGCTGTGGGGGAGAGCTGAGCCAGGAGAGAGCTCTGCCCCTGCACAGGATCTGCCTGACATTCACCCCACACAACTCCTCCAGTCCTCACTGACTAAAACAGCTCAGACAGCTTCAGTTTTAGGATATTAATTTGGACACTCAAGGTTTTTGGGAGGAAGGGCTTTACTTGAGGAAAAAAAAAAACAACAAAACATTTTGTACAGACCCGTGGATCTTTCTGGAGAAGGGTATGTGGGACCGTCCCAGGTCTGGCTGCAACATCAATAGGATTGGAAGTCTAGAAACACCACAGGGAAAGAGCATTATTGAGTGGCACAATGCTTGAAAGCAACACAACATGAAAAATAATAGTTCTTTATCATTACCACTGCCGAAGCAACAGAGATAAACTTCTTAAAGAGGAAAGAAGAATCATTTTAAGCCACTTAATAGTATCTGCATTATCATCTCAATTTCCAAACTTCCATTGCCCACTAACTTCCCATTATTTTAATCCAAAACACTGAGGGAACAGTGACTGTTTACCCTGGAAAATGTTTCCAATACTTAGGAACACATTTCTGACACAGAATCTGAAGCAGTATTTGGAGGAGCTCGTGCTCTGCTGCTCATCACCAGTGCACTGAGCACACAGAGCATCTCCTCAGTCACTGCCCAAGGGCCTCAGCACTGGCACCACATGGATACCAGGAAAAGTAACATCCAGTTGAAAAAAACACGAAAGCTTTTCCCATGATTTGAATGTAAATAGTCAGTTAATAAAACAAAATGCAGCTTTGTGGAGAAAAAACTCCCGTCACAAAAAAATCAACCAGCCCCCCTATATTTAGACAGAGCTTTTTCCTAGGTTAAATGAAGAAAATAGAAATCAGCTACAGCATAACTAACAATTAAGAACCAGAGCTGTTAACAGTCTGATTACCATACAGACGAAGAATCCCACTAATGAACTGCAATTTACATATTCAGTCATTAGAGTGGATGGGCCAATTTAAGGGAGAAGGTGTCTCCTCTGCAGACATTCCAGGCCTGATTCCAGGCTTGAGTGGCAAAGGCTACAGACTGTGGTTCCCTCCCACTGGTAAACAAAGAGTGACTCCATGAAAACAAAAGAAACCCCCCCTGAACTCCTCACATTTCTCTCTCCCAGCTATCACACATGAGGAGAGACAAATCAGTGCTCTTCACTGTGGTGGAGCTGGGAGCTAATTATGGAAATGAGTAAACAATAATGATCACCATTTCTAAAAATCCTGATTATTACGTGACCTTTCATTAATACACACTATCTCAGAACTAATTATATTGCTTCTGAATTGAACTATGCCATTATATATATAATTTTTTTTAAAAAATGTTTGTATGTACCTGAACCTAATGTGAAATAACTTCTCTCTGAAGCAAATTTGGAAAAAGCCAATTGTCCCCCATGGAATGATGTTGTAACTCAGACCTCACTGCTCCAGAATAGAAACCATACCCAACCCCTGAGCTGGATCACACGGTGTGAGCAGTAAGAGGTAACTCCTGTCTTACCTTGGGTTGAAAAGCTCCTGTAGGGATCCAAAGGGGCCAGTTGGAGGAATCATGGGAGGAATACCTGATACAGCTGGAGGATAGGAGTGAAACAGCTGGAACAGAGAGAGAGGAACATCAATGCCAGCACAGGACAGGCAGCTGAGCAACACAGAGAAAACAGTCCTGTGCAATAGGAGGAAAATGGTACATGGAGAAAACTGAGGAGCATCCAAGTGATCTCGTTGCAACAATGTTAGTTAAAGCATCAATGAGATGTTCACAGATGTCATGATGTTTAGAGCTTAAAAGCAGTTCCAAAATCAGGCAGCCAGAGCCTGTCCCTGCATTAGCCCAGCAGAGCATGAGACACACTTTGTTCCTTCAGTTATGAATTTTTAAATTGGAGAGAGGTTTTAAATGGCTTCGGTCTGTGAGTCGTTCCAAAAGAAAAGGCAGAATCCTGAGTTGAATAAGACTTAGAAATCTACTGTTTAAGTGGAAAAAACCCTTACGAGTTCTAGGATATTGTATCATTAAAACTCCATTAGTACCTTGGGATTTTAATGGTATCTGTAGGAAATGAGGAAAATATGCACAATTCTTACTTCATTAGCCTGTCTGAGAGGATATCCTGCCACATCTAATATTAGCAGACAGACAATCTGATTTGTTAAAAATTAGTATTTAAACAAAATGTTAAGGCAGAACCCTCTGAAAATGTAGGGTAATTTTTTTATAAGGAGCGTCTGCTAAGCACAAAAACGTGCATGTCTCCACTGACCTCCCTGCCCCAGGGAGCAGAGAATTTAGTTAAAAAACACAAAAGGCTGCTCTATAGTAGTGCAGACAAACCCAAGGGAAACAAGCAGGTATACTAAATAAATAAATTCTTGGCTGTGAGGGTGGGCAGGCCCTGGCACAGGTTGCCCAGAGAAGCTGTGGCTGCCCCAGCCCTGGAAGTGTCCAAGGCCGGGTTGGACGGGGTTTGGAGCAATCTGGGCTAGGGGAAGGTGTCCCTGCCCATGGCAGGGTGGGATGGGCTTTAAGGTCCCTTCCAGCCCAAACCATGCTGTGATAAACCACGGCAGCCCAATGGGATCTTGTCTCTGTGCTCTGGCTGTGACCCTTTGTCCCATTGCTGGAACACAGAATTCGTCCAATTCCATGGAAATGCTGGGATTACACACCCAGCTGCCTTCTGGTGGGAGTCAGGGATTCAGAGCATCACACTCCAAATACATTCTCCCAGTGAAAGCTCTGGATCTAACGGGATGGCTCCCAGCTCCACTGGGACTGCCACCCAAAAACCCACTGGGGTTCTCAGGCTGAGACAAACCCCCCCTGAACACACCAGATCAAAGTCAAGCACTGTTTGCTACTTTTAAGATCAAATAAATGAGTTAATGGCCAATTGAACAGAAGCAGGACTGGGCAAAGTAAAAGACTGGATGTGAAGGGCAGGAAAACACCAAGAAAATCCCATCCCAGAGTGAATCGGTATCACAAAGTTTTGATGGATTTGGTTATGCCAGGCATGCACATGTGCTTTTCTTCATCTTTTTTCCTTCCACTAGCTTATCATGCAAGGTCATTTATTCATGTTATATTCACTGATCACTGAGAAAATATTTCAGTATTTCAGAGGTATCAGAAGATTTTCTCAGTTCAAAAGTATGGTATCAAACTTCTGTTCAGAATGTTGCTGCTGTTGTTTTTAATTCTGTTTAATTTGGACCTGCTCCATGCAATGGTGCAGAAAACACTTTGAGATTTAGTTGATAGTGAATGGTAGGCATTTGAGAAATCATTAAGAGACACTTGTCCTCATTTACAATAACTTTTAATGAGTAAAATGTGCTTTAAATCCTCCAGTGTCTTCTGCATTTAATTCTCTGTGTAATGGACTAATTCCAAATGATGGGAAAAGACGTAATACTTTGTATTCTATTGGCTATGACTGATAATAAGGAATTATTTCCTTAGAGTTTTATAACAACTGGTAAGTTAATTAAATGTGACCTTTCCTCAAGGGCAGAATTATTAATAAAATATAAATATTATAACTCCATGATCTCTTTGTATCAGTTAAATTCCTCCAGCTTTCAGGATATATCTTTCATAGTCAGTGCTCCCTTTTTCCCCAGTATCCCTTCTCTTTGGAGCAGCATTTTCCCTTTCCAGCTTTCTCAGGGACCACAGGAACCACAGCTCTCCTTGCCCAGGTGTGTGCAATGCTGAACTGGACCTGGCTGGAGGTAAAAGTAATGCCTCACTGGGCTAAAAGTGATTGTAAAACCAAAGATGCCCAGAAAGAAAACTGATTGCAACCTCAACACGAGTCTCTGTGTGAGCTGCATTCCCTGTTCTACAGGAGATGGACTCTAACCCTCAAACAGACCTCGTTCTCCTGCAAAGTTCACCTGCACTCCCTGCCGGCTTTTTTAAGGCATCTGAATTCCTGGTGTGGATCTGTAGTGGAAACTCTTGTCTACAGGAGGGAGGGCTGTGGAAGTGCCCCAGCTGGCCACTATTCCTATTTCTCCTGCCCTATGGGCTGTGCTCTCCCATCACTCAGGGGCTGCTTCTTGGAGCTGCTGAGGGAGCTGAGGGAGCCGTTCCTGCCCCTGGGGGGATCACACGGCTCTGGCCTGGCTGGGGTTACACACAGATCTCCATCCAGTGTCACCTGGAACATCCATGTGGATCTCCTGCTATCAGCCTGCCAAATGTCCCCCAGTGATCACTGTGCAACCCCTTCCAAGGACAGAGCTTTCCTGAAGGGAAGGCAGGGGAGGCACAAGGGAGCAGATCTGGGCCAGGGTCCACAGCACAGCTCCCTGGCTGATGGAGAACAGCCTTTCCTGACTTTAGAGGGGGGGATGCCATGACCTTTACAATCCAGGCTGATAAGATATTATGTCACTGAATTTGAAAAGCAGATACAGCTGGAGACTTCCACAATGTTTCCTGTATTACATGTCGACTTCTGTGCTTTATTTCTAAAATTCTTGTACCTATCTCCCAGCAACGTGTTCCTGCTTGGATCAACACTGATGACAATATATCTTCTGGATCCATGTAAAGCTCAGCAAATCAGAGTGCAATTTTGCAAACAGCAATGCAAATGAGCAGCATTACCCTTTATTAGCACAGGCTTAAATGTTTGCCCAATACTCCTTGAGCTCTGAGCCTGCAAACACTCTCTTACTGTTCAAGTTACTCAAATGAAGTGCCAGAAACTACCAGGCCTGTTCAGATGTAGGACAGGCTGTGAGCAGGGACTGTGGTTAATCAGGACAGCAGAAAGCACCACACCATGGTCTTAACCAGTTTTTTTTGCCCAGTTCCACTTCCAAGCAAAACCAACACATAAAGCCAAGTGCTTTGCAGGTTTCTGAGTGCCGATGCAGTACTCCTTCTCTCATCAAAATATCACTCTTGGATTTGGAAACTCTTGCCATATTTAATCAGGTACCTGCCTCTGCCAATAGGATGAAGGAAATGCAGCCCAGATTTCAGCAGCAAATGAATCAGTAGATTCAAACCCTTAGGAGCAGAAGGTTTACACTTAACTGGAATATTAAAAATCAGTTCATCTCAATAAATAACATTTTTGGTAGCTTAGATAAACACATCTAGTGCATAGCTGGATTCGTGTTGCTGTCATCAAACAGAGCTTTCAAAACATAACAAGCCCAGTGGATCAGCTGTGCCTTTGAAATCTGAAGAATAAGACAGGTTTTCAGATTTTATCAAACAAAATATGATAGATTAGGAAAACTATTAGATTACCTATCCCTGGAGGGTTTGTATGATAGTTTGTCAGTTCATTTCAAGTTTCTTAGGAAAAATATCAGCCTAAGGCTTTGAGGCACAACCGAAACACCGTGATGGAATCACTGCTCCCTCCTGCTCCACGGAACAGTCAGCTCTTCTGTCTCATCTTTTCACATCAAACCTCTCCAAATGGTGTATGAGCAAGAGATCTTTTGATTGGAAAAGCTGATACTGCATCTTGATCAGAAACAAGCACCATGAGCGCAAGCCTTCAAAAGCCAAAGCAACCAAGGACGATAATGGTAAATCCTGGAGTGATGATTAGGGAGAGATTGGACACTGTGCCATTGACTGAGTGGTGATCCCAACCCACCACAGGAAAGCAGTGAAGTCAGTTTGAAACAGAGCAATAAAACTCACACTGTGACGGTAGAAGGGGTCAACTTTTGTAGGGTATTTGTCAAACTGCAAAGGGATCAAAGCACAAACTAGTTACTTGATATTTCCTTGCTTTACTTCTGTTGGCAAAATAGAAGACAAACTTCTCCATTGTTTGGCGACCAACAGAGAGGAAAAAAAAATGCAGAAAATTAAGTTTCCATTGAAACTGTTTGGGATTTTTCTTTCTTCAAAGTAAATCAAGAGACAGGGAAAGGGAAGAGGCACCAGAGTGCACACTCCTCGTCCCTCAGCTCCCGTCCTTCACCTGAACCTACGAGGGAGGGACAGCCCTGCCTGTCCTGCCCAGCCACACCTGGGCAGCACAGGCCTCCTGCCCCACATCCTGGCAAATTCTTAACACTTTTTTTTGTAATAAAGAATAGAGTTGTGCTCTACTTATCCTCACATTTCTGCCTGGGGTACGCACCATGGGCGGTGCTGGCGTCGGCATGATGGCAGTGGGTGGGATGGCGTGGGGGAAAGGCGTGAAGGTGTGCTGGTGTGTGTGTTGGTGTGTGTGCTGGTGCTGGTGCTGGTGCTGGTGGAACTCTGTCCTCAGGTAGGGCGGGGGGCCCAGGGAGGCCCCACGGTCCGCGCTCTGCGAGGCCAAAAACCGCGTGTTTAGTTCCTGCCGGAGGAGATCTTGCTCTGAAACACAAACAACAAAACAAACCCCCGTGAGCTCTGGGGCTTTTCCACACCTTGTGCCGCTTACTCCGCTGGCTGTGGCATCAGTGCTGTATCTAAAGCCCTGTAGAGGGTGAGAAAGCTCCCTCAGGTCTTCCCTGAAGGCCTGAGACATTTGAAAATCTCCATCTCCCCTTCCTCACCAAGCCTGTTTTTGCATTCTTCTGAGCATTAACCTGAGGGTCCTCCCTAAATTTGGATGGACACGGACACAGCCCTAAATAGGTGAGGAGGTACGAGTACGCTGGAGCAACAACCGAGGGGCTGCTGCTCATTGTGAGTGCCCTGATGTACAAACTGATGTCACACAAATGTTGATATTCCTCCACTTTCTTCCCCCACTTCCTTCTCAGGGACCTGGTGAGGTCCTGGCACAGGTTGGGCACAGAAGCTGTGGCTGCCCCATCCCTAGAAGTGCCCAAGGCCAGGTTGGAAGGGGTTTGGAGCCACCTAGGCTAGTGGAAGGTGTCCCTGCCCACGGCAGGAGGGTGGATCCATACTGACATCCTTCCAACCCAAACCCTTCCATGGTGCACGGTTTTCTCCAGTGATAAGAATCTCTCCATCTCACCCCCTACACCATCCTGCACAAACACAGGCTCAGCACCACTGTGCTCACAGCCACTGCAGACCCTCTCCCCAGCCAGGGAAGCTGAGACCACAACTGCAGTGAAGCCCTTCACCAAAGGGGTCACAGATTCTGTGAGGCACGTGGTGTTCGTACCATGGGTTCAACAAAACAGACCTGAAAAAACCACAGCCTTCCAAAAATAGTCATTCCCAGGGCAGAGGAAAAGTCATTGGGTATGTCTAAGCATTTGGGGGCTTTGATATGGCTTAAAATCATCCAGCAGTGAGTACAGCCTCTCCCCAACCAACAGTGCACCAAAACCAGAGAACTGGTCTCCTACACCGCACGAGACCCCTCTGGCTCTTACCTGAGTAAGTGCTACCAGCTGGGTGTCCTGGAACCTGCAGTGTCCCTGACGTCAGTGGAGGTGGAGGGGGCAGAGCCGTGGGAGGGGCAAACATATTGGGGTGGTGGGGGTGTGCTGGGGGCTGCAGGGTGGGCGTGAAGGTGTGCAGGGGGCTGTGGCTGGGCAGGGACAGCGGGAACGGGGAGGCCGAGGGGTGGTGGGATATGTGGGGAGGAGGGGCCTGAGTCTTGGCAGGAGTGCTGCTTCTGCTGCTGCTGTTAACGAGAAGAAAAGCAATTAAGCTTTGCATGGAGGGGAGGAAAGCTCCAAACACAGACCCCCCCCCCAGCCCACACACAGCTCACGTTCAACACAGCATGGATGGAACCCACGGATTACAAATGCAGGTTACTATTCCCAGCCCCACCACTGTGATACTCCTTCCTCCAACCACCTGCTGGACCTTCTCTGCTATCTTTTACTTCCTTTGGTCTCTCCACACCAGCACTTGAGACATATTCTCCCTCTCTGTAGGAGGTTGGTATTCTGTCCCCCAACAACACAGGGATGACACACAAAGGAGTAATCAGCCCTGTGCATTCATTACTTAATTATCAGGTCCTTTCTACATGACTGCTTCTGATTCATGTTTTCAGGCAAATGGAGCTCAAAATCAGTGATCACTGCATTACTAAAAGTTTAATTTTTTTTTGCTATGAATTAGTAAGAAGAAAGACTGCAGAAAATGTGACATGAAGTTGAGAAGGCAACAAAAGACATGTGCTTATTGTATAGTTAATGCCTCTCTACCCCCACAATATAAAGAGATAAGACGAGTCAACAAAGTAAGTATTTGTGATTACACTGGTTGCAGTATCTCAGGTTTCTTCTCCTACTGATGAGTATTTAAAATATAATCATGTAGGGCTGACTTCTACTTGTCTTTATTTCACATAACAACATGCTCCTATTGCAGTGACTTTCAAAGACAAGCAATACCAGCTTGGTTAAAAATAAATCCAAGTCTTAAACACCTCCACAGTCAAACCATGAAGCAACCATAGTGCTGGTTCACCAGGCCTTGAAGGTCACCATCTGCCTCAGATTTGGGGAATGACAGCCTTGCTTAGAGCAGGGGAAACCTGAGGGTCCTGACTCAGACATCCCGTGAATGTGTTGTTTAATCTCACTGCTCATCTTTAGAGGGGGATAACAAAAGGTGAGGCTGATCTCACTGTGCCAGGTGAGAGAAGAACACTGCACACTGACAGGTGTCAGCAGTGCAGGAAACACGGAGCTTTGCAGTCCCTGGTGTGTGATGGGTGCTGGGCTGTGTGCAGCTGCACCACGCTCCCTGCTCTAGGGCATGGCAGTGGCTGGAGAAATCAGATGTTTACAGGGGTGGCAGAGTTAAAGAGCTGCCCTTCAGAGAGCAGCCCAGCCTGCAGGAACTGTGATTTTCTTCCCCTCATGTATACTGTGCAAAATCCTCACCAAAACCCCAAGACAGGAAGGAAAAGTAAAAGCTAATTTAAAAATACCCAGGGTTTATGGGATTGCCAGGTCAGACACAGAGTGATCCTGGCTCATCTCAGGGTATGAGCTGAGGTTAAATGCACTGAGTCCCCTTCACTTCCCGGTGATGTCACTCATCTCCTTTAGTTAATTCCCCTCCACTCCATCAGCGCAGCGTCCCACCCCAGCCCCCCAGCCCAGCGTGGCTGCAGTGACCCACACCAACATCTCCATCCCCCTACCTTAAGCTGTTGAGGCTCAAGCTGCTGCTGTTGTAGGCGGAGAGGGGCTGGGAGAGGCTCTGTGCGGCGGGATGGGGCTGCACGGCGGGCAGGGCCGGGTGGGCCGGCGGCAGCGGCGACTGCGGCCGCGGTGGGTGCTGAGAGGGCGGGTGCTGTCCCGGGGGATGCTGTCCTGGGGGATGCTGTCCTGCAGGGTGCTGTCCTGCAGGGTGCTGTCCCACGGGGTGCTGTCCCGCAGGGTGCTGTCCTGCAGGGTGCTGGGGAGCAGGGGCCCGGGGTGGCTCCTCGGGGGCGGGGGGCAGCGGTGGGGGTGGCGGGACGGGCAGCTCCGGGCGCGGGGCGAGCGCGGGGCTGGGGCACCGGGCCTGGGGCGGCTCGGGGGGAGGCTGGGCCAGGGGCTGCGCCGCCTGAGGACAAGGGTCTTTAGGCACCACGGGCTCGAGGACTGGGTCTTTGCTGCTGTCCTGGCTCTTCTCTTGGCTCCTTTCTAATCCCGATATTTTGGGGACAGCCGGGCCCCGAGCACCAGGGTCGTCATTTTCAGCGGGCGGACCGACTCCTAACTCCTTATCTGCAACAACAGCACAGACAGGAATGGTTAAAACCAAGGTAGCAAAACCAGTCACACTCCGGGCAGTTCCATTTTGCTTTCATCAAGAACCACCCATGCCAATGTGAACCCAAATCAAATCCCTCTGCCCGTCATCCCCTCCCTCCCATAACCCTCCTCAAAATAAACCTCCTGGCAGAGAAGAGAGACTCTGTTTAGTGCTGCTGTTCTCTATCATTGTTACCCATCATCACTCCCTCACTGACCACCGAGGGAACAAATGCCACTGAGCTCTGGGCCTTATCATAGAAACGTTAAGGTTGGCAAAGACCTTTAAGACCATCAACCACCAACCCAGCACCACCACCATGTTCACCACTAACCATGTCCTCAAGGGCCACATCCACATGTTTCTTGAACACTTCCAGGGATGATGATTCCACCACTGCCCTGGGCAGCTGTGCCAGTAGTGCCTGACCACCCTTTTAGTGAAGGAATTTTTCCCAATATCCAACCTAAACCTCCTCTGGCACAACTTGAGGCTGTTTCCTCTCTTGTCCCTTGTTCCCTGGGAGCAGAGCCCGATCCCCACCTGGCTCCTCACTCCTGTCAGGGAGTTGAAGAGAGTAAGAAGGTCCTCCCTGAGCCTCCTTTTCTCCAGGCTGAGCCTCCCCAGCTCCCTGAGACACTCAGACCCTTTGACGTGGCACCAGATCTAAACATTAAAACACACACTGGTAGGGACCCTGCCTCTTTTTGGTTGGCTGGTCATGGAATGACTTAATTCTATTTTCCAGCTCTTTAATAATATTAATTAATTAATAGTAGTGTAATTTTAACATTTGCTACAGTGGAGCTTTGCTCATTGGGGCTCTACAGCAATTTCCCATTGGAATCACTCCCCAAACCTTCTGCCAAAGCATATCCAGTCCATGGCACCCCTTGGAATAAACTGGGGGAATGCAGCTGGCCCAAGACTGGAAAAGGTGGTGCCTGAAGGAGGGGGGAACAGGAGCACCATTTAGGGCTGTATCTCACAATAACTTGGATCAGCTGAACTTACATCTTCAGCAAATATGGAAGTGCAGGGTATGGAAAACACAGAAGGTTTAAAGGAACTTAGGACAAACTTGTAACTTAAAAAGGATCCAGTGTTCTTAATAAACTTAAAACAGGAAAACTTTACTCCTTCTTCTGCCAGTTTTGAGGGGTAAAATGACTAATTGGATAATAAAATAATATACATCCAGAGAAAATTGTTGACAGCTCCACTGTCCAAACCCCGAAGTAATGGAGTGAAATAAAGAGAATGGGGAGTGAGATCGTCCAGCCCATAGCCCAGGCACACAAGTTCTGCCACCATCACATCCCTGGAGACAGCCTGGCAGCAATGTGTCACAAACACAGCATCACTTGGGCTTCATTTAGCTAAGACACCAAATTAAACCATGTCAGGTACCCTGTTACTGGTACTTTACAGGCCCTGTGCAAAGATAGCAGCCTGGTGTATATATATATATTCAGGGTTTTTTGTAGTTTGTGGACAGGAGACGGGGAAAAAAGGGTAAAGAGAGGCAAAAGGGAGGTAAAGAGGATAAGAAGGAAGAAGGAAAGGGGAAAAAAGTAAGCAGACTTATTTGATGAGGACCTACTTTAATCACTTCTGGAATATGCAACCTGTAACAGGCACAGAGGCTCCTCCACAGATTTGGATCAGAAGACTTTGGAGGCAAGAGTGGAACTCCAGAGGGATAAAAATAATTACTGTGCCGTATGCTCAAGGTCTATCTCACTGCAATTAAAGTGCAGGTTCTAAATAAAGGGAACTTCCCTTGCATTAATTGTTTGGATCAATCCTGTTGATCTTAGAAATTAGACAGACAGTGATGTGCACATGTGTAAAGGCAGGTCCCCAAGGAGGAAAGAAGAGAGCAAGTTTGTTCAGGAATAGGTGGATCTATATTCTAAGTCCTTATGGGTGTAAGAGTTACAAGTTTTTGTGGTTTTGGTCATTTTTTATTTTTTTTTAAACATAATTAGGGCTTTGAGGGCTTAGCCTTGTCATTAGAAATCCCCTCCTAGATGAATGAAGTAGGTGGTCTGGAAATCCTGCACAGGTGATACTTCCAAATCGACAGGGAACACCTTGCACTCACAGTGCATTCATTAAATCCTTTCATTTGGTATTTTTAGCCCCTCTAACGTGTGGAACATTTATTCAGCACAGCTCTGTGCTAAGGATCTGCTCCTCACGCTCCTCCTCACCGGGAGAAAAGGGTTGGGAATGCCACTGTCTCCTGGGGATCTTTTGCTGCTGCTCAAATCTTCATCACACAGCACCCAAGTACCATTCCTGGGAGCCTGCACTTGGAAGATGCTTTGTGTAGTGAGATAATGTTATTCCAGATGTCTCCCACCAAATGTGCCCATGGTCTCTCCCTCTCCCTGTCTGAGCCCCCAGCACCCACACAGTCCCCCAGCACAGGGTCCAGGAGCCCCAGTAACCAGTGCACACATCCCTGCATGGGTGATCATTATGATGTACAAATCAGAAATTTCTCATCCCACAGTATCTCTCTGGGGAGCTGAAATCCCCCCTCAGTGATGAACATTACCAGTTACAAGGACTTGGGCTCCCAGTTCCCCCAGCACTCCCTGATGGGGCACATTTTGTCTAAATGATCAGCATCATCGACCTCACCAGGGCTGGCCATGGCACTGAACAGGGCAGTGACAGCCCCAAACCTGCCAGAGCTCCAGGAGGGTTTGGACAACACTCTTAGGGACAGGGTGGGATTATTGGGGTGTCTGTGCAGGGCCAGGAGCTGGACTGGATGATCCCTGTGGGTCCCTCCCAGCTCAGGATATTCTGTGATTCTGTGTTTCATAAGGAGGGCTCGAGTCTTCATCAGCAGCACTTCAGGCTCACACAAACACCATTAGGCTCTTTCTACCAGTGCATCCTGACTGACAGGCTCAGTGTGAGAACTTTGGGGAAAAAAACCGACCCTTTATGTCACTGTGACACAGACAACCCACCCTTCTGAGTTTGTTTATCATCAGAGCAATTCATCTGCACCCAAGAGCTAAGGAAGCACCAAGTGAACTTTCTCTGCTGGCAGCCTCCACACTCTGTTCTGGATGAAGTGGAATTACGGCATCATTATTCAGGAGGGCAGGAGCTGTGATGTAATTCCATTCTGACACAGGTCTCCCTTTCCCCACTGGGTTCAAACTGCACCAGCAGCACTCAGTCCTTTACTGAAAAAGGAATAAAGCCACAATTTGATGCTGAGGACTGAGGAACATTGGCTAAGCTTGTCCCACCCACACAGCTTCCATTATCTTCCTTTCCTGTCCCATTTGATGTGTCTTAAATTTCAAATTCCTCTGTTTTTCACTTAGCACAGACAAACTGGGGATGCCTCAAGAGGAAGGACTCTCAGTAGCCTCCATGAAACCCTGCAGTGTGTGTGATTATTACTGGGTTGGCTCCATTACACGTCCCTCCAGAGCCATGGACTTGTATAATGAGCACAGATTATATGCAGCTTTCTACCACTGCCTCTCTTCCTGATGTGCAAACCAGCAAAAGTTGACCCAAACTCCAGGTTCTGGCTCCTCTGTACCACCTGGGTGGTCCCAAAGAGCCAGAGGAAGGCCAGGAGTGGCCACTGAGAACATCCCAGCCACAGATGATGCCCAGTTGTGCTTCTGCTGACAGAAGGGCCCCATCAGAATTGACCAAATTTGAAATTTCAGAGATTCACCAACATAGAATACTCCCATTTTGCCTGGGCAAGTGTTGCTTGCAGTGGGTTCACTGTGTCTAGTTGCACAGGAGGTACCAGGAGCCAGCACAGGGCATTCCATGATGAGAAGAGCTGAGGCCCCTGGGCTGTCCCAGTGGTAGCCAAGGATGTGTGACCTGGGCACCCCTGCCCTGCCCTGCCAGGACCTGGGGAATGAAACCTCCTGAGGCAACATCCTGTGTGATGCTGTCAGCTCACAGTGGCCAAGCTTTGTTTCTGGGCTTAAAATCATCCAACTTTTCCATGTCCAGGTCTGGAGTGTCATCCAGAAACTAGGCTGTGTCATATCCTGTCACTCCTCCCTCTGTCTGCATCAGGATTCAGCCTGGAGAGCCTTCAGGTATCTTCAAAGAGCTTTTCAGAACCAGCACTAAATTTGCCACTTTTCTGAGAGGAAAGTTTTGAATTAAGCTCAAAGTCCTTATTGCACAAGTAAGAAAATTATAGGAATTTTCAGTGTTTTGCAGCATTATCTTTGGGACTGAGCATTCAGCCTACTAAAGAAACATTTTATAGCATTATTTAATTTAAAAATAGTATTAATTTTCTTTTTCTGCTTTGCTAAGTCGGAACTCTTCTCTCGAGAACGCTGCCTCTGCCTAACTTAAGTTTTCTGCAAACTTCTTAATGCAAGATAAAAACACAGATCTTCCAAAACCAGAAAAACTCTTTTCTCCAGCTTTACCCCGGATAAGGGTGGAGTTGGTGCAAACTGCCACAGCAAATACAAGCCCCTAAAAGATCATGGAGTGCAGGAAAGATCTACCCCACAGCCCACCAGCCCTGGGAGGTTCAACCCTCAGCAAGCACTGGAAATAATGGATCAGGTTTAAGGGCTGAGTGTCCTTTTCAGATTGATCAGACACTGGTCAGTGCAGCTCTGGGATGAGCAGGGGCAGGGACAGGAGCTGCTCCTGCCCAGCAGGGAGGGGGCTGTTGGGATCACACAGGCCCCAGAGGGATTCAGCTGCTCCACTGGATACACACAATTTGCTAAAAACAATTTCTCATTTTTAGCACACAGTCATCTTTCATCCTAATTTCCAAGGACACTAACAAAGCATTTGATTATGCAAATGAAGAAGATGCCTTGGAAAGCACAGTTACTGCAGCTCTGTCATCTGCTGATAGCAATTACTCCCCAGTAAGCAGGTATTTAGTACAAGTGAACAGCAAGGCTGGTGACACACTTTGTACTTAATTATAAAA